CTGGGACACGAACAAATTGCCGAGTTTTCAAATCCCCAAACAGATTTGCCGAATATACAATCGCAAGTACGGGTTCGTGCATTGTGTTTTTACCTGAACCATATCTGATTGAAGCGGGACGAAAGTACAGCATTTTTGTTGATTTCGACAGCGATATAAAGTTGGAAATTCCACTACTCAAACAAATCGTTCGAAATGAACAGGATGTGGAAATCAAATTTACCGGCGGTCAACTGGACTTTGTAACACGTCTCATTTTCGAAATCACCGCAGATTAGATGACGAATTTGCTATAATTAATATTTTTGAAAACATTTTTTGTAAAATATACAACAAAAACCAACGATTTTGCTGAACAATAAAAAGTTGTGCCTAAAATTTCGCATTTTCTTCTTTCATTCTTTCGATTTTCGATCGGCTATGTCTATTGAATAGATCGAGAGGAGAGTATGTGAAAAAATTCTAATATATTTTGAAAGAGGAGAGTATGATTTCTGTTGATTCTATCTGCGTTAAAAAGAAGTATGTTGGCATCCCGTCTAGCCTCCGCGGTTTTTCACGGTTTCCGCGAAACTGATAAGAGATAACAACATGGTGTCTTCGGCAAAGTTGTAGCACTTGAGGTTTTCTTTAACATTGCTGAAGACATCTATCTCTTATCTCTTATCAGTTGCGCGCAAATCGCGCACATAAAAAAGCAAATTTTATATAGAACTTTTTTTTTTCTTATCATTTTTCGCGCTATCTCTTATCAGTTCCGCGGAAACCGTGGAAAACCGCGTGGACCCGCCAAAAATGAACATACTCGCCTTTAACCATTTTTGAGTCGAAAGAAACTTACTCTTCTCTTTCACAACAAAGTCAGATGAACTTACTCTCCTCTCGATCTAGTCAATAGATGTGTATTTTACTAAATATTGAATGAATTCTGAGAATATAAATTGGATAAGAGCAAGCCAAAAATTGTTCAAGCATTCGATTTACCATTTGATTCTATTGGTTTTATTTATTTTATTTATTTATTTACGGCAAATGTTTTTAACATGAACGGCCTTAGAAACTAAAAAAGGTACAAAAAATAAGCTTAAAATTATCTCTGCAAGTAACAGTAAATAAATTTTGAATTGACATAGATTAGGATCATACGTTGATGTTTTTTTAAAGAATTTCCCATTTTGAGTTGACTGAGAAGACTTACTATCTAGATTATTTTCGGGATATATGTTTTTTTTTTAAATGAACTTTGTGAACCGCAATTATTTTGCGAATCAATATTTTCATATTGAGGAATTAATAGACATTTGTCATAATTGTCAGTACTTTTAAAATCTATCCCATTTATTGGGTCATGACCATAATATGTAACAAGATTTTCATTAAATGTATGAAAGTTATTTGTTATTATTTCATGACCTGCCTCAAAAGTATTTTTTTCATAACAAGGCAGAATAAGACAACAGTTATGTTGCTTGTTTTGTTCTAAATGGCTAACAGCTGATTTAGTGTATACATACGCTTGTTGTGTATTGATGTCATTCACCTCTGTTGCACTGGTTACTTTGATTGTGTACGTTGCATTACTCAATCTTTTGAATTCGATAGTTGGTGTTGTGACTTTGACCGTTGATGCCTGCTGTGATTGTGTTTTCATTTGGCTGGCATTCGATACCTCTTCACAGGATACTTTGCTCGTGAATTGATCATAATTCGCTCGAAAAAAATCCAGTTTGTAGGGAATTTTACGTCGTTCAAGTAATTGTAACCCAATGATGTTTTGAATGTGACATTTAAATCGATTTGATGAATCAATCCAGACTCTCCATCGCTTATGCAGTGTAAAATCATTACATCATTCACCGATCCCTTGCCCGTTCGACGCTCAAATTTTTTCTTGAATTCCGACACAAATTTGCTTTTATCATAGATCTCAGCAAAATCTATTCGCCTAGGGGCAATTCACGAGCTGCGAATGGTGCCAGTTGTGCGAATGGTCGAATGGTAGTATGTGCATTTAGATACAAACATTTGCAAATGCTACGAATGCGTGCGAATGCGAATGGAACCATTCAATGTATTTAAATACAAGCATTCACGAATGTTCGCGAATGGTTACGAATGGCACTGCAAATGAGTGTGCTATTCAAATGAGTAGCATTGCGAATGCACGAATACAACTAGAACTGAACGACATTCCAAAACACTTGTCAAAACAGTGCAAATTCAAGTCGTTAAAATGGTAAACAGAACGTTATTGAGGCTAATTTAATATAAAAATTAAAATGAATTAAATGAATATTTGGAAAAATGGAATAATAGAATAATAATCTAGTTACGCCATCTTTTGTGAAACGGCACGAATTAATTCACACTCCCAATATATCATACAAAAACTTTTTTCTGAATTAGTGAAATTTTCCAATAATACAATTCCAGTTGATATCAAAATAATTCTGGAAATAAGTGAGTTTGACACAGAGTCATCGCTTATGTTAATTGACCGTGAAATTATCAACGATAAACAAAAACAAAAATACTTCGTTTGAAAATACTGTTTTACACTGATTTAGTTTTGTTTTTTATTTATGGTGCGATTCAAGACTTTTGGTATCGACAAAATTAATGAATTATTTGCCAGAGAATATTCGTATCTTTCAAATAAAATTTATGTTCGTTTATAAATTCTTCTATACCGCTAATGCTTTTAGAATCAATGGATAACAGAGCAGTTTCGCATTCAAATCCAGTACTTATTATGATTTTTTCTAAATTTGCCGGTAGTTTTTCGGCTAATTTCTTTTCTAATATCTGAAACACACGTGAACTCATTGCTTATGGCGTTTTTAGCGAATGGCTACGAATGCTTGTGTGAATGTGTTAATACATTCACTATGGAGCGTCGCGCGAATGATCGTGCGGCAATCCAAATACATGGCGAAACAGGCACGAATGCCTCTTATTCTGCGAATGGCAATGACATTCGCGAATGTGAATTGCCCCTAGCTATTCGCACCCTCAATGAATCGGAATGTGAATAAATGTTGTATTTACCCATGAATCTATTTGCAGCTGAATTTTGGAATGAGAGACGATTTCGCCTGGTGCTTATTTGCTGTTCACTATTGGCACGCATGAGTTTGGTGTTATTGTTTTTTTCGATGTTTTCAGCGTTTTGACGGTTGAATTTGGAGTGATGTTTATCTAACTCCACGTCGAATTCGGTGAATTTGGATGACAGTAAATTCATTAGATGATTCATTTTGCGTATTTCGTCTTCGTCAAAACGAATTGATAGGAACACTTGATTGATTTGCTCTTGTAGGCTTGCGATTGCATCATCAACGCTGCTACTGTTAGATGTTGTTCCATTACTTGCATTGCGGTGCACCGGACAAATGTAGTCTTCATTAAATAGTTTGAATTCGCATTCACGCTGGTCATCGATAATTTTGTCGTTCGTGTTGGACTCCTTACTGGCCAAATCGATCATATCAATTCTCTCTCGTAATTGGTTGATCTGATATTGATATTCTAATTCGACCCGATTGATACACATGCCTTGTGCTAAGGGGATTTATCTCTCGCGAATGCTGCGAATGCATTCGCATTTCAGAACAAAAATTCGAATGTTTGCGAATGCGACGAATGCGGCTATGACAGCGAACTTGTGACTACATAATTCATTCGTTCATTCGTGTTTGTGCATGCATTCGCAACGCTGCCGTATGATTTCTATGTAAACATTCGCACTCGCATTCGTATAGAATACGTATTTCGCTGTTCTCGAACGTTCTCACGAATGCGAGTGCGAATGTTTACATAGAAATCATATGGCAGCGTTGCAAATGCATGGCACTGAGCGCGAATTTGTGAATAAAAATTCGAATGCCAAACCGACATAGAAGCCCCTAGGCCTTGTAATAAGTAATCAATTAGTTCATTTGAGTTTTTATTGTGCCATAACGGTTGAAGTGCGCATGAATTGTTACATTTGCATTGTGATGCCCTGCTCTTCTCAACATCAGCCCTGAGTGATTCCATGATTGAACTGAATCTAATGGATTTTTCCTCGAATTCCTTGCGAATGCATTGTGCATCGGACAAAAATCCCAGAATCGATAAGTTAGTTTGGGTATAGAATAAAGCATTGATGGAAATGGATCATCAGTCGTCTATTGAACTATAAAACATTTCTTTGTTTTCTGCTGATAATTCTTAACTAAGGCTGTTCCTTTCCAACTGTTTAAAATCTATGAAAAACGTGGGAGCACAACAGCACATGAAGAACAATATCAAATACAGTAATCGTCGCGCATGAATGCCTCCTCGGAAATCGAAGCAATGTAAATCAAGGTAACTTTTGGAATGAGAAGAACGAATAAGGAATACAAGGAAGCCATCGTGTTCATTTTAGCTGTAATGTGGCTATTGTTACTGTGCTGGAATTAAAACTTGGCCCATAATTTTGCCTTTCTTCTTCAGGCAAAACTCAATTGCTGCAATTTATTGACATTGTTTTTCAATTTATATTATAAAATGTATTGTCAAGGATTTGAGCGTTTCAAAAAATGTTGAAGACTTAGACAACGTTGAACGTTGTGTTGCTCATTGCCTTTCGTCTGTATGCGAGACTTTTATTGCATCTCTCCGCTTAGCTGTCTGCGCTCTCGGTGCATGTATGTATTCACTTTTCCATTACTTGAGCAAGTGATTTTGAATTTCTTTCAATTCCGTTATTCGCGCACTTAAGACCAATTTATGTAATCGTTGCGTGAAGACACTCGATCTCGATGATCAACAGCTGTTATGTTGTTAGAAGAATTTCGGTGCAAGAGTAAAATTCATATGAAGAATTTGTTTATGGAGTAAAACCCAGAATTTTACTTGACTGAACCGAATTGTCTTTTGTCAAGGTGAGTCGTATTTCGCAATTATTCCAGGTAATTAATTCAGTTGATAGCCAACGGCAATGGCCCGTTTTTTTTTGGCTAAA